CACTTGTCACGCAAAGCACTCAGGGAGTTTTTGGATGGAATTTCACTTTTATTTGAATGGAACACTACACAAACGCTTTGACGGGGTGTGAAATGTTCTTAAGGCCAGTTCAAATGGACAGTAAAACAAAAAAACCTTTCTGGAACTGAAATGTTTTTTTTTTCTGGTAAACTGTACCGCACAACATCTTAGTGCACTACTGATGAACGATTTAGGTAGTTCTACTTTGACGTTTGTACCTTTTTCAATAGTAGGGAAAAATTTATGTTCATCTCATGCAATCGATGTCATGATTCCCAAAATATGTTCTACTGGAATCAGATCAGCATCGTGAGATCAAGAAACAAACAATTGAACATTTTTATTCAACAGCCAAACTTTCACGATTTATGTGGTGTAAATGAGCACATTATCTTGTTAATATCAGTGAACTATTTTACTTGGACCTGCGCCAAAAAATCAAAGATGGTTCTCGAGAGTGTCCTGACATGAGTTTGTGCCTTCATTTTTCCCCGATTGAAAAATTTCTGCCCACTTTATGATTGGGTTTTAATTTCAAACTACCTTTTGTTACGCAATCGTGCTTGTTCTGGAAAAGCATGCCAGGACTATGTCAAACTCTCCCTAGGGTTTTTCAAATCTATTCTCTTCTGATCGCTAAAAATGACCTTGTCTTATCCCTTGTTCGAATTCCCTCAAAAAAAGTCCATACTGCAGCTGAACGGGGGACATCAGCGATGGAGATAGATACTGTGGAGTTAAAAACGTGAGAAAACGAGTGGTCCATGAACACATTTCACTCACAACCTACTTTAATATTCCCGATGGCAGCTCACTACCGTCAATAGACGCACACGTACGTATAACACAGAATCGACTGTTCCTTCAATAAGCATTTTAGCCACTGGTACCAACAGAACTTTCTTCAGTGAGATTAATCAAAACGCTTGGCTTGAAACTGTTTTACAATTGTCCACTGTTTTTGATCTCAACTATAGATTTTCCAATCGTTGGCCACACCCTTGTACAAATCCGCTTCAAGATGCCTAGGGTTTTCACACATCCACACACACACACACACACACACAAATTCGAGAACAGTACGCGTGATTGACATTGGCACAAACGAATGACTCACGCCTACTCTACTCCCGGATTCGGAGGAAAGAATGTGGGACGGTGAGAAACGGTCACATCATTCGTGGGGGAATGATCGCTGTATACGTCCCTGTGCATTGCTGGCTCTCAAATTACTTTTATCCTGAGCGTATCAAACCAATACGTGAAGATCAGCCATTTCCGTATTCACCCTATTCAATACATGTTTATCAGAACAAGATACAATACTATTTGAATAGCTCAAAATACTTTCACCCGGTATGGCTTGTTAATTTGGCATAACAGAGTTTCGGGAATTTAAAGAAATATGAATTACCGGAGAGTAATGGAGTATTCGGTCGAATCGTATGGAGCTAATTGATTGAAACACGTATTAGAAAGCTATAGATGATACTATTTCTTCGCATCGACTAGTTGGGTCGTGAATATTTCCTGCCACGCATCGAGACCGAGCGAACCGAGCGATCCGGTTAATGCGGTCATTTGCTTGCGATAGGCTTTCACAGATGGATTGTACTGTAGTACATGTACACAAAAGGGAAAACGGTTTGATTGGATGTCCGATGATTCTGCGTGTTTGGCCAGTTTGCGAGGTATTCATGCTACAAGGTAGAAACAGTTCTACATTTCACCTTAGCTTGTCTCTCGCAGTTCTTTTGCTCTTACAAATGAAATCATCAATCAATTGTGCAACTGCAATACACTCATCATTGTTTCATTATACGGAGATTTTTATCGAAATTACGGATTCTTTTTCTCATTTTCTTATTCCCGGTTTTTGAATGGAACCAAATCATGAGTGTGCATCGCCGCGATTCGTCGCGTTCTTATGTACTTTTACGAGACCTGGCCCCTCCGCGTTGACCATATTAATCGATCTTCTTTATTCGATCCCCGATAGGTCTGAAACATCACTGGTGTTTGGTGGGAGCATAGGGTACGCAACAACAACAACAACAACAACAACAACAACAACAACAACAACAACAACAACAAGGGTCGCCGTTATGTATATGAGGGATGGATAGTCACCCGCTAACAGAAATAATCATTCTAAACCGCCTCCGATGACTTGGTTACCTATTGCGTTTACCTGCTAGCTTTCCGTGCTCTCTTTGCACGTGCCAGGCAAAACTTGTGGGAAACACAGCGGCTATCAGTCCATGACATCGCGTAGAAAAGGTATGAAGAACCTAGCCTCAGTTGGTTCAGCTCGCTCTCCAGGTTGGGGTCCATGGTATAAGGTTTGTAATTGGTTAGAGGCATTCATAAATACGGCCCAGTCAGTGGCGCGAATGTAGTACAGTCTGCCTATTGAAATCTCGTGCCCCACAAAAAGAACGAAAAAATATTAAAAGAGGCAGCATGAGAGAGACAAAAAATGTTATTACTGTCATTCCACTCAACTGCCTGACCTCCTTTCACTTTGCTATGCATCCCGACCCCCACGTTCTGTTATTCTCGTTGTTGCGATGAGACCAAGCTTGCTGACAACCACATACATCTACTCAAAGTATGATTGCTTTTTGAAAAATGTAAAACTTAAGTGGTAAAACCATTATTCTACACAAGTTAATTATTAACTGAGTGACAAAATAGGCCAAAACGGAATGTTGATCTGATGAACATTTGGCGGGATCCATCGTACCTGCAGTGATTACAGGCCATTTATTTGGATATTCGTTCGTCTTTTCGTGTGAATGTAACATCTCTTTGACCCGGAAAGCATAGAAAGCATTGTTCTCCTTGTTGGGCAGCTTTAATGTGACCCCACTGCACTGAGGCGTGTGCAACGCTGGAGAAA